TTGGCCAGACTGGTCTCGAACTCCTGACCTCATGATCTGCCCGCCTCGGCCTCTCAAAATGCTGGAATTACCGGTGAGCCCCTGCACCTGGCCAATAATCCAATTTCTTAAGCAGTAATTTATTTTCATTTCCTTCTTTTCCCTTTTTGTCATTTGTCTTTTCCTCCAGATGGAATAGTAGGCAGTCAGATCCTGAGAGTCCTGGGGACCCTGAGGAACAAGCTTGCTCACATCTTTGTCTTGTAAACAGGAAAGTCTGAACACGAGAAAGGGAAAGGCTGAACGGCAAAGACTGAACATGGCCCTGGACTGAGCTGCAGAAGTCTCTCCTCTAAGATCTGTTGGCAGAGGCAACAGGTAAGAAATGACAGATTTCTCCTTCTTGTAAGGAAGTCCCAGTCTCTCCTTCTCAACATCAAGGTTCATTTTTCTCATTCATCTCTCCATTTCCATTCAACAATGCATGGCATGTAATCGACACTATGTAAATACTTATTGAATGAACAAATTAATACATGAAAATATCAATGAATAAATACTAACCCCAGAAATATCTGGTTGTGCCTGTTTGAACAGTCCTAAAGACTTTCGTCCATGTGACTGGCTAACTACGAACAATCAATGTTAGTGCAGCACAAGTGCTATAGTGGGATATCAAGGAGCATATCCTGTCAGAGCTGGAAGAGGCTCTAGAGTTCATCATATCCCAAAGTCCCAAACCACTGAACACTAACAACAGAGTATACTTAATTACCCTGCATAATCTTGTTGCTGGTGATGTTGGTTTTTACATTTGAATTCGTTGCCAACGTAGAAAAATTAGGAGAACTCACAAAACGTGATTCAGGGGCTTTTAGAGGAGCAAAACTGGAAAATCGCTACAGAAAATAGCCTGGGCTGACTAATTGCTGCCCCTCTTGCGTTCTATTTTATTTATTTATTTATTTATTCTTCTGGATCTTCTTTCAAGAACTGCCCCTATTTTAGGGGAGTGTGTTCTATTCATTTAATGCAGCTCCCAACCACCCCAGTGCACCTGATGCATAGACAGGACTTGTCAGCTCTGGTAGCAGTTGCATTTGTGTTGCCTAATCTAATCTTATGCCACTCCACTACCCCATTTTTTCTTTTTCTTTTTTTTTTTTTTTTGAGACAGAGTTTCGCTCTTGTTACCCAGGCTGCTGGAGTGCAATGGTGGATCTCGGCTCACTGCAACCTCCGCCTGCTGGATTCAGGCAATTCTCCTGCTTCAGCCTCCTGAGTAGCTGGGATTACAGGCATGCGCCACCATGCCCAGCTAATGTTTTTTGTATTTTTAGTAGAGACGGGGTTTCACCATGTTGACCAGGATGGTCTCGATCTCTTGACCTTGTGATCCACCCGCCTCGGCCTCCCAAAGTGCTGGGATTACAGGCGTGAGCCACCGCGCCCGGCCCTACCCCATTTTTTCAATAAGAAAACTGAGGCCCACTCAATTTGCCTCCCTAAAAATTTGCCTGATTTGGGCCTCATTCCTGCATTGTCTTCCATCCACTGCCATAGTAAACACTGAAAGATACAAATTTAACAAGATCACTCTTCTGCTTAAAATCCTTCAGTGGCTCCTTACTAGTTTTGAAGCTCCCAATCTTCTTGTCATAGCCTATGAGACCTTTTAATGCAAAGCCTACTTTACCAACCTTAACTCTGACGACGCTAACGAGCCAGCCACACCAAATGTCTTCAAGTTCTTTTACTCTGCCATATGCTTTTATGCCTCGCTGTCTCTGTCTATGCTGATCTCTTTGCTTGGATTACCCGTCCCTGTCATTTGTCTGACAAACTCATGCACATTCAGCACTTAGCTCAGACACCTGTGATTCTGCCCTGCCAATGCCTCCACCCTCCTCCTACTTCTCCTCCTCCTCCATCATCTCTGAGCCATAGGGCTCAGCTCACACTCCTATTTACAGCTCTTTCAACAGTCAATTATAACTTCCCCACTAGACTATGTGCTCCTTGAGGGAAGAGACCACAGACCATTCATTTTTATTTTCAGCATTTTTTCCCCAGTGCTCAATAAATGTTGAATAAATAAATGATAGCCTTGCTCCAGGTGACTTTGTTAGTGACCTATCTGTGAGAAAATAAAGGAATCCTTTAAAACTTGAGAGAGTGCAGGGACAAGCTACGTTCTTTCCATAATACCAGGCTGCTCAAGAAACTTTGTCTTGTTGATTCTCTTCCTCTTTTTTCTCTTTCTAACATAGTGTGCACTTCATTTTGGCCTCAGCTTTCCAGTTACAAAGTTTACCCCCAAATGTTCATTTGACTCCAGATAATTAGTATAAGCCAATCCTGGAAATTCTATACCTCTTTCTAGTGTTTGGTTCATGAATGAGACTGTAATGAAAACCTGGTTAGTGAAACATGAGGGAATCCCGGTCTCAGGAAGATAGTCCTGAGAAATTTTCCTCTATACTAAAGAAAAGCCACAGAGCAGATGCTTCCTCTCTTTATCATTTGGACACTATCATTAAAAAATATTATGTATGGAAGTGCTGACAGCATCTTGCCATCAATCTGAAAATGAAGCTAATACCAATGGTAGAAGAATGGAGAGATGGAAAAAAGCTTGGAATAAAAGCATCACAAAGCAGCTGAGCAACCAACCCTGATTCTTATTCCATTGCTACATCCAATAATACATTTCCTTCTTGTTAAGCCAGTTTAAGTCATGGCTGTATATTTTAATTTGGAACTAAGCCATACTGATACAGTTCTTCAATTCCTGTTATCCTTCCTAAAATGACTGCATATAATCCTCAACTTTCTAATCCCTTTGTTAGTCTATGAATAGCCTAATTAATCAGGTAAGCTTTGGATGATCTAAAATTAGGCACCACAAGGGGGAGGGGGCATGATCAGGAATTCCTTTAATATCTGTTTTCTCCTTGTCAGTCCTATACATGGCTCTTAATAAATGGAGTCCATTTTAGAGTTGGCCATGAGTGAGCCTCATTCCATCATTCCCTACCACGAGCCATACTATCCGCTTCTCCCCAGCTTTCAGCCACGCTGCTCCTTCCTAACAGCACCCAGATTTTGTTTACAAGAATACTTTTCCTCCTTGCAGCCACAGCACCCCCACTTGTAAAGAGAGGCCTGATTCTTCCACAGACAATCCCATTAACCCTTGTTAATGATCAGTTATGTGTGGTCCTATAACTCAGTTCTGGCCAATGAGGCAGGAGGAGAATTTACTAGGAAGCTTCTGTGAAAATCTTCCCCAATCCTAAAAGAGAGCTATAGGAGAAACTGTCCTTATTCCTCACATTCCCTGTTGGAACGTGAATACTCCAATTACTGCTGCCATCTTGTTATGAGCTTGAGGATAAAGCTAACAACAAAAATAAAATCAGAAAATAAATATCAGAAGAATGATGGAAGGAATCTAGCTCCTTTGCTTGAGACAGAGTCTCACTTTGCCACTCAGGCTGAAGTGCAGTGGCACAATCTCGGCTCATTGCACCTCCATCTCCCAGGTTTAGGCAATTCTCGCACCTCAGCTTCCCGAGTGGCTGGAATTACAGGCATGCACTACCATGCTTGGCTAATTTTTGTGTTTTTTGATACAGACAGGGTTTCACCATGTTGGCCAGGCTGGTCTCAAATTTCACCTGCTTCGGCCTCCCAAGGTATTGGGATTACAGGCATGAGCCACTATGCCCAGCCTGGAATCCAGGTTCCTAATAGCACATTGAGTTGTTGAATTGACCAGTCCTGAAGCACTTCCTACCCTAGTTGGGGATTTTAGTAATGTATGATAATGTGTTTTCTTATTTTCTTTAAATTATGCTTAAGTTCTGGGGTACATGTGCAGATCTTGTTACATAGATATACACATGCCATGGTGGTTTGCTGCATCCATCCCCGCATCACCTACATTAGGTATTTCTCCTAATGTTATTCCTCCTCTATCTCCCTACCCCCTGCTATCCCTCCCCTAGCCCCCTACCTCCCAACAGACCCCAGTGTGTGATGCTCCCCTCCCTGTGTTCATGTGCTCTCATTGTTCAACACCCACTTATGAGTGAGAACATGCAGTGTTTCGCTTTCTGTTCTTGTGTCAGTTTGCTGAGAATGACGGTTTCCAAATTCATCCATGTCCCTGCAAAGGACGTGAATTCATCCATTTTACAGCTCCATAGTATTCTATGGTGTATATGTGCCACACTTTCTTTATCCAGTCTATCACTGATGGGCATTTGGATTGGTTCCAAGTCTTTGCTATTGTAAACAGTGCCACAATGAACATATGTGTGCATGTGTTTTTACAATAGAGCATTTATAATCCTTTGCGTATATATCCAGTAATGGGATTAGTGGGTCAAACGATATTTCTATTTCTAAATCCTTAAGGAATCACCACACTGTCTTCCACAACTAATTTACACTCCCACCAACAGTGTAAAAGTGTTCCTATTTCTCCACATCCTCTCCAGCATCTTATCTCCAGGTTTTTTAATGATCACCATTCTAACTGGCACGAGATGGTATCTCAATGTGGTTTTGATTTACATTTCTCTAATGACCAGTGATGATGAGCACTTTTTCATGTTTGTTGGCTGCATGTCTTCTTTTGAAATGTGTCTGTTCATATCCTTCACTCACTTTTTGATGGGACTGTTTGTTTTTTTCTTGTAAATTTGTTTTAGTTCTTTGTAGATTCTGGATATTAGCCCTTTGTCAGATGGGTAGCTTGCAAAAATTGTTTCCCATTCTGTTGGTTGCCAATTCATTCTAATGATTGTTTCTTTTGCTGTGCAGAAGCTCTTAAGTTTAATTAGGTCCCATTTGTCAATTTTGGCTTATGTTGCCATTGCTTTTGGTGTTTTAGTCATGAAGTCCTTGCCTATGCCTATGTCATGAATGGTATTGCCTAGGTTTTCTTCTAAGATTTTTGTGGTGTTAGGTCTTACGTTTTCATCTTTAATTCACCTTTCTGACCATGGACACTGCCAAAGAAGCATCGTTAAAGTCTCTCTTCTCCCTGTGATCATGTCTAAGTCAGAGTCTCCTAAAGAGCCCGAACAGCTGAGGAGGTTCTTCATTGGAGGGTTGAGCTTTGAAACAACTGATGAGAGCCGGAGGAGCCATTTTGAGCAATGGGGAACGCTCACAGACTGTGTGGTAATGAGAGATCCAAACACCAAGCGCTCCAGGGGCTTTGGGTTTGTCACGTATGCAACTGTGGAGGAGGTGGATGCAGCCATGAATGCAAGGCCACACAAAGTGAATGGAAGAGTTGTGGAACCAAAGAGAGCTATCTCAAGAGAAGATTCTCAAAGACCAGGTGCCCACTTAACTGTGAAAAAATATCTGTTAATGGCATTAAAGAAGACACTGAAGAACATCACCTAAGAGATTATTTTGAACAGTATGGAAAAACTGAAGTGATTGAAATCATGACTGACCAAAGCAGTGGCAAGAAAAGGGGCTTTGTTTTTGTAACCTTTCATGACCATGTAACCTTTGACTTCGTGGATAAGATTGTCATTCAGAAATACCACACTGTGAATGGCCTCAACTGTGAGGTTAGGAAAGACCTGTCAAAGCAGAAGATGGCTAGTGCTTCATCCAGCCAGAGGTCGAAGTGGTTCTGGAAACTTTGGTGGTGGTCAAGAAGGTGGTTTCGGTGGGAATGACAACTTTGGACATGGAGGAAACTTCAGTGGTCATAGTGGCTTTGGTGGCAGCCGTGGCGGTGGATATGGTGGCAGTGGGATGGCTGTAATGGATTTGGTAGTGATGGAAGCAATTTTGGAGGTGGTGGAAGCTACAACAATTTTGGCAATTACAACAATCAGTCTTCAAATTTTGGACCCATGAAGGGAGGAAACTTTGGAGGCAGAAGCTCTCGCCCCTGTGGTGGAGGTGGCAGCCAATACTTTGCCAAGCCATGAAACCAAGGTGGCTATGGCAGTTCTAGCAGCAGCAGTAGCTATGGCAGTGGCAGATTTTAATTAGGAAACAAGGCTTAGCAGGAGAGGAGAGCCAGAGAAGTGACAGGGAAGCTACAGGTTACAACAGATTTGTGAACTCAGCCAAGTACAGTGGTGGCAGGGCCTAGCTGCTACAAAGAAGACATGATTTAGACAAATACTCATGTGTATGGGCAAAAAACTCAAGGACTGTATTTGTGACTAACTGTATAACAGGTTATTTTAGTTTCTGTTCCGTGGAAAGTGTAAAGCATTCCAACGAAGGGTTTTAACGTAGATTTTTTTTTTTTTGCACCCATGCTGTTGATTGCTAAATGTAATAGCCTGATCGTGATGCTGAATAAATGTCTTTTTTTTAGAAAAAAAATCTTTAATCCATCTGAAGTTAATTTTTGTATAAAGTGTAAGGAAGGGGTCCAGTTTCAGCTTTCTGCACATGGCTAGCCAGTTTTCCCAACACCATTTATTAAACAGGGAATCCTTTCCCCATTGCTTATTTTGTCAGCTTTGTCAGAGATCAGATGGTTGTAGATGTGTGGTGTTATTTCTGAGGCCTCTGTTCTGTTCCATTGGTCTATATCTCTGTTTTGGTACCAGTACCATGCAGTTTTGATTACTGTAGCCTTGTAGTATGGAGCATTTTCTTATTTTTAAGCCAATTCAATTTAGACTTTCTGATATTTGTAACTTAAAACATCCAAATGATACATCCTCAGAAAAGGAAAAAAAGTGCCCTGCATGTAACCATTTGTTACTTTCCTTCTAGCTCTAAGATATTTTTGTATATTTTGTTTGATGAGTGAAGATCAATTTTTCATTAAGGATCTGCCCTAGGAATGATGGGACCTTAAGAGAATATTTTGGAATCAGCTACTCTTCAGTTCTCTTTTCCAACAGAAATCAAATGGGACATAAAGTCCCATTTTAGTCAGGATGGCATAGGATGATACAGTATCAAATTCCTAGTACCAAATTTTGATGTCTGGCTCACTGATATCGAATTTTGATGTTGGTAAGCCAGAGTTCTCCTCCATCTGGTCACTCAGGAATCCAGGCTTCTTCTATCTAGAAATGTTGCCTTTCCAGGGTCACTATGGTGGTGAACAAAGCTCATGGAGATAACATACCAGTTCTTAAACATGTCCATCCAGAAAGGACACACATCTCTTAACATTCACATTTCACTGGCAAGAAGCAGACACATTTCTTGCCTAATGACTAGCAAGCTGGGAACTGTAGTCTCCCCTTGTATCTTCGAAGGAGAGGTGAGGCACATAGGGATAAGCTCTATCTTTTTTTTTTTTTTTTTTTAACTTTGTTAGATTTTTTTGAGACAGGATCTCACTCTGTCACTGAGGCTGAAGTGCAGTGGCACAGTCACTGCTCACTGCAACCTCAACCTCCTGGGCTCAAGTGATCCTCCCATCTCAGCCTCCTGAGTAGTTGGGACTATAAGAGTGTGCCCCATGTCTGACTAATTTTACTGTTATTTTAATTTTTGTAGAGACAGCGTCTCACTAAGTTGCCTAGGCTGGTCTTGAACTGCTGGCCTCAAGTGATCTTCCCACCTCAGCCTCCCAAAGTGCTGAGATTATAGGTATGAGCAACTGTGCCAAATGATGGAAAAGCCCTTTTAGTCTCTACCACGCTGTCAAAAAATATTTTTTAGTTTTATTTTTAAAATGACTATTTTGGCTGGGCATGGTGGCTCACGCCTGTTATCCCAGCACCTTGGGAGGCAAAGGCAAGCAGATCACCTGAGGCCAGGAGTGTGAGGCCAGCCTGGCCAACATGGTAAAACCCCATCTCTACTAAAAATACAAAAATTACCTGAGAGTAGTGGTGGGCGCCTGTAATCCCAGCTACTCAGGAGGCTAAGGCAGGAGAATTGCTTGAACTGAGGAGGCAGAGGTTGTAGTGAGCCAAGATCATGCCATTGCACTTCAGCCTGGGCAACAAAAGCCAAACTCCATCTAAAAAAAAAGAAGACTATTTCATGAAGAGGAACCAAGGAAGTACTTGTTATAAAAATTATTATGTAAAATTATTTGAAATCAGATCAGGAAAGCCTTGTTATTTTTTGCCACATGTAAGTCAAAGAATAACAGTTATACTGAAGCTTCTTAGTAATCTATTTGTTAATTGACTTCTCTGTTCTAAGCAGTAAACAACATCATCATCATTATTATTATTTTGAGACAGAGTCTCACTCTGTTGCCCAGGCTGGAGGGCAGTTGTGCAATCTCGACTCACTTCAGCTTCCGCATCCTAGACTCAAGCAATTCTCTCACCTCAGGCTCCTTTCTCCCACCTAAGCCTCCTGAGTAGCTGAGACTATAGGCATGCACCACCATGCCTGGCTAATTTTTGATTTTTATTAGAGACAGGGTTTCATCATGTTGTCCAGGCTGGTCTTGAGCTCCTGATCTCAAATGATCCACCCACCTCAGCCTCCCAAAGTGCTGGGATTATAGGCGTGAGCCACAGTACCCGGCCTATTTTTTAAACTTCCTTTAATTACCATGTTGTTTCACACTAAAATAGCACACATTTTTTTTTTTAAAAAAGGACTATAAAAAAAAGAAAAAGAAAAAAAGGGATTGTATTATTCAAAAACATTAATGTCATAAAAGATAAAGAAGGGCTGATGATGACCTGTTCCCAATTAAACACACATGACAACCAAATACACATGTGATTCTAGTTTGGAAACTGTACTAGAGGAAAAGAATGCTATAAGGAACATTACTGGATCAACTGACAAAATTGGAATACAGACAATGGATAAAATAAAAATATTATATCTATGTTAAATTTACTGAGGCTGATTAACTGTATTATGGAAATATAAGATAATATTCTTTTTTTTCCTCAAATGCATTTTAACAAGAATATTCTTATTGTTAGGAAATACATAATTTAAAATTTAGGGATAAAGGGTCATAAAGTACGCAACTTACTAAAAAGAGTTATCAGAAGTCTCTAAACAAAGAGGCCAGAAAGAAAACCATTAAAAAATTGTTTTAACTTATCAGAAGACTCAATATTGTTAAATGTCAATTTCTGCCAAATTAATCTAAAGACTCAATGCAATCACAATAAAAATTCCAGCAGGCTGTTTTGTAGAAACCGCCAAGATAATTCTAAAATGCATATAGAAATGCATAGGATATAGAATAGTCAAAACAACTTTGGAAAAATAACAGAGTTGGAAAACTTATGCTACCTGACCTCAGTACTTAGTGCAACTAACAGAAATGAACAATAACTCTGATGCACTTGTTAGGAGATTCAACAAGCCTACGGAAAGAATTTCTGAGCTTGGAGAATTTCTCAAAGGAATTGCCAAAACTGGGCCAGATGCAACGACTCACACCTGTAATCTCGACACTTTGGGAGGCAAAGGTGTGTGGATCACTTGAGCCCAGAAGTTCAAAACCAGCCATGGGTGACATAGGAAGAACTCATCTCTACAAAAAGATACAAAAAAAGAAAAAATTACCTGGTCATGGTGGCATGCACCTGTAGCCCCAGCTACTCAGGGGGCTGAGTGGGGAGGACAACTTGAATCTGGGAGGTTGAGGTGGCCATAAGCTGAGATCGTACCACTGCACTACAGTGTGGGGACAGAGTAAGACCCTGTCTTAAAGAAAAGAAAAAAGTGGCCAGGCGTGGTGGTTCATATCGGTAGTCCCAGCACTTTAGGAGGCTAAAGCAGGTGAATCACTTGAGGTCAGGAGTTCCAGACCAGCCTGGCCAATATAGTGAAACCCTGTCTCTATTAAAAATACAAAAATTAGCTGGGTGTGGTGGTGTGTGCCTGTAGTCCTAACTACTTGGGAAGCTGAGGAAGAAGTATTGCTTGAACCCAGGAAGTTGAGATTGCAGTGAGCTGAGATCACACCACTGCACTCCAGCCTGGATGACAAAGTGAGACTCTGTCTCAAAAAAAAAAAAAAAAAAAGAAAAAGAAAAATTTTCAAAACTGAAAAGCAAAGATAAAAAAGATTAAAGAAAAACCACTGCAGAACATCGAAGAACAGCATGATGAATAAAAAAGGTATAACAACATGTAATGGGAAATCCAGAAGAAGAAAAAGAGAAAAAAAGCAATATTATGACATAATAATGATAGAGAATCTCATCAAATTAATTTCATTGTTGTTGTTGAGACGGAGTTTCGCTCCTGTCACCCAGGCTGGAATGCAGTGGTGTGACCTCGGCTCACTGCAACCTCGGCCTCTGGTTCAAGCAATTCTCCTGCCTCAGCCTCCCAAGTAGCTGGAATTACAGGAACCCACCACCACTCCCTGCTAATTTTTGTATTTTTAGTAGAGACAGGGTTTCATCTTGTTGGCCAGCTGGTCTCAAACTCCTGACCTCAGGTGATCCTTCTGCCCTGGCCTCCCAAAGTCCTGGGATTACAGGCATAAGCCACTGTGCCCGACCCTAGAATTTTATCAAATTAATGTCAGATACCAAACCACAGATTCAGAAAGCTCAGAGAACACTACGCAGGATAAATGCCAAAAAATACTATAGCTGACATAACATATTTAAATTGAAGAAAGTCAAAGAGAAAGAAAAAATCCTGAGAAGGAAGTTGGGAGGGGAAGAAAATCTTAGATACAGAGTAGCAAAGATTAAAATTACATCCAGTTTATCTCAGAAACCATATAAACAAGAAGAGAATGGAATGAAACATTTAAGTTTTGAGAGGAAAAAAAAACCATAACTAGAATTCTGTACTCTGCAAAATTATTCTTCAAAAGTGAAGAAGGAACAGACTTTTCCAGACAAATGAAAAGTAAGAGAATCTGTTGCCAGTAGACTTACCTTACAAGAAATGTTTAAAAATTTTCTTTAGAGAGAAGGAAAACAGTATAAGTCAAAAACTCAGATCTACATAAAGGAAGAACGTTAAGGAAAAGCGAAGGTAAAATAAAACTTCAAATTTGTATTTCTAATTGATCTAACAGATAGATATATACACACATATAAACGTATATACAGCTATGTAAGATATATAAGCAAAT